TTGTTTCTAAATGGATACTAAATAGTGTTCACTTATCTTTCCATCCAACGGTCTTTCTGGTTCGAATCAGCCGTACGATATGAATATATTTACCACGTCCACCAACGGTCTTTCTTGTTTGAATCAGGTGTACCTACGCTCTGAGTATTTACCGCTGCACTATCCGTGCCAAGCAGCGCCGGCGCCGCTTCGTTAGCGATTACTCACATTTAATAAGTTAATCAGATTTACCTTCAGTACAGTAAAATAGACCGGAATAGGAAAGCAAGAGCGGTTCTTTTGTGCTCTCGTCTGCTCGGATAATCCAATTATTTTGGCAGTACATAGGGCACTTTGTTTACACAGCGATGATAGATATGACTTTGGCGAACGCAAAACGAAGCCCAAACCACGGCTCGTTCTTCGTAATACGACACTTTTTCGATGACAGACCCGTCCTCGAGAACAGCCCCGTCTGTGCCTCAGTGTAACGTACTTTTTGCAATAGCTGGTATGAAGTAATCGCAAATAGATCATAGGAACAAATCAAATGGGAAATYGAAAGCAAACCCTGCTAGAGAAAAAGCCGTTTGTACTTAGACAGGAACCCACATAATAATAATCAACATTCCCTAGTGTAGAGAAAGTTAGATGACGATACATATTAACTATTTCACAGATCATATATCACATGTCGATCGGTTGGCTACAAATGGGCCCAGATGGGGCATTTATTTTTTTGAGAATCTAAAAATATTTCCGGCATTTATTTTGTTATTGATTTTGAAGATATTTCAGGAACCCACTACCTTACCAATGACTATGACCCTACGAACCGTACCATAACACACTTTGTAAATTGAACACAATGATCGTTGGCTAGCTTGACCTCGAGTTCGTATTACGAAGAACGAGCCGTGGTTCGGGCTTCATTTTGCGTTCGCCAAAGTCATATCTATCATCGCTGTGTAAACAAAGTGCCCTATGTACTGCCAAAATAATTGGATTATCCGAGCAGACGAGAGCACAAAAGAACCGCTCTTGCTTTCCTACCCCGGTCTATTTTACTGTACTGAAGGTAAATCTGATTAACTTATTAAATGTGAGTAATCGCTAACGAAGCGGCGCCGGCGCTGCTTGGCACGGATAGTGCAGCGGTAAATACTCAGAGCGTACGTACAGCTGATTCAAACCAGAAAGACCGTTGGTGGACGTGGTAAATATATTCATATCGTATGGCTGATTTGAACCAGAAAGACCGTTGGATGGAAAGATAAGTGAACACTATTTAGTATCCATTTAGAAACAARCATATATCAATTCAATTAGAAATCTACGAATAACTGAAACAATCACACATATGTAAAACCCAATCCGTCTGTCCTGGCGCCCTTGGCCCAATCAATAAATTTTTTAGATCATGTTGCTGGCTAAGCTATGCAGGACTATGTTAGTATCCAGCTTTTTTTGCTTGTCTCTTACTGAGAGACAAAATTCATGAGAGATATATCAGCATTGGCATCAAAAGGAACCAAGTAATAACTTTTGTTAAATACCACCAATATGAACACAATATAAAACGTCATGATCCTTTAATACTTTCTACCAATAATCCTCAAGACAAATTCATGAGGCCAAACAAAAAAATAAGTGTGTTTCCTGTTGCATGAGAAAAATAATTGCGGTCGATAGGTCAGATTTTTTTACTGATACAACAGTGGAAATGAGCTTACTGGGAACCCTGTGGTGCATTTGGTAATAAAAAGAAATTTAGGATCAGCAAAAATCGGCAAGAAAATGAGGGTCCGTCACCCAACAGGAAACACATTTATCTTTTTGGTTGGCCTGAGTATCATTAATTATTATTATGAACACAGTTAAGTTAGCCTGCAAGCATCAATTAGGATCAGGAGGGTGATAATGCTTTTGTTTTATCTTTATATTCTTTTTTATTTGCCAGACTATGCCCTTGAACCCCAAACCTCTCCTGAATAGTCTAACAGGAAAACCAGTCATAGTAAAGCTTAAGTGGGGTATGGAATACAAGGGATACTTGGTATCAGTAGATGGATACATGAACTTACAGGTAAGTTTGGTAAACCTAATTTTCTAACAGTTCAAATGGTAAAATTATTATGGATTTCACCAAAGGAGTTTTTCACAGCAGAAAAAGATTGGCATCCCTTTCTCCAGTGTCGAATACATTTGATCATTTTCTTCCCCACAATTGTCAAGAGGATGCTGTCACATGGATAAGGAAATGCAGACTAAAAGGTTGATGTTTGTTGGCAGAGTCGTGTACATAAATGGCAAGACCGTAACATGCTTTCCGCTTCCGCTTGTCTCTTGTCATTATGGGTTCATTGGGTTTTATGTTCTTTCCCTATTTCTGATAATGTTATCTGAGTGATTACTTGATTCTTCCTCACCCCACTGTAGGGGATTGTACTATAGCCTACACCATTTCTCAAATGGTTTCTTTATCCACAGTTGGCTAATACAGAAGAATTCATAGATGGTGCTTTAGCTGGAAACCTTGGAGAAGTCCTTATTAGGTAAGATGTCGATAATTGTGATTAATAAAAAGTATGTTTACTAGTTTCTTCTTATTTCAACACTGTTTCCATTGCTAATGTATTGATCAAGACAAGTGCCGTGACAGCTAGGTCATTGGGCAGTTGACTACCGTCTATCAAAATGAATTCTTGAGTACAGTGAATTTGTTTTATTGGTGGTCTATTGTCTAGTGTGTAGCAATGAAACTATTCAGTGTTTGTATTGATAACAACAATATTATTTAAAATCTTTTTTGTCATGTCTAGATGTAACAATGTACTTTATGTGAGAGGAATAGAAGAGGAAGAAGAGGATGGTGAGATGAGGGAATAAAACTTAGTAGTTGCATCATTTTCCATTGAAAAAAATGAAAAGCCTTTCTGTCAATATTTGTTGACATGTAATTGTAGGATGCCAACACTTGTTGGATTCAGTAATTTATGTTTTTTATTCTTCTTATAGCAGTACTAGTTTTCAAATAATTATGTGAACTTGGTAGTAGCGTGCTGCCTGCTGAAATTTGGATTTTTGTTTCTGTCGATCAAAAACAATCAGTCAGTACCTTTTACATTCTTGACTTGGTGGCAGTGAAAAATCAAATTCCAATGTGTGACTTGCAACTACCAAGTTTGTGTAATATTGAAAATTGCTGTTATATTTGAACAGTCATGTTATTCACTGTACATAAAGCTTGATAATCTTTACATACTTCTCACAACTGAGCACATTTAACACTTGTCTTATACAGTGGAGATGAAAGTTGCTTTTTTATAACTATAGAATCAAAATTAACTTGGATACAAGGTAAACAGGAAAATACAAAAGAAATCACACATTTTCTCAATGCAATAAGCCTGAAGCGAGATGACGTTTTACCCCCGTCTCTAGACTATAATCCTTTTCACACTGCTTTTGTTCTTTAATTATGACTATTGTTCCTGTATTCTCTAAGGAATCAAAGATTTTAATGTGAAAGAATTTTAAAAACTATTATGGTATAGAGGCGGGGGTAAAACGTCATCTCGCTTCAGGCTTTTTTTTTTTTTGTTGCGGAAAATCCTTGCAGGAGCATAAATAAAATGTGTTTAGGTATATTTGTCTGATATTTCTTTTGTATTTTCCTGTTACCAAAAACCTTGCATTTACGATAATTATGAAAGGAGTCTCACATTCATCGTCACATGACTTGGAATAGACGACATCTGTGAAGCATTAATCCGAGTGTTTGAAGTTGATCACTACTCCAGTCTGCACCATTGATTTATATTATGACCTGTAAATGTCTTAGAAACTCTGGATCACAATCTTAAGTTTTATATATATTTTACTGTAAAATTATAAAATATCACAGTCCCTCACTCTACAGAATAATAAAAACCTGAAACGTTTATCAATGTTTTATTCAAAATTTCCCTGTTTATTTACAAATATAATGCTATACACTTATTTATTCATCCAAACCGACAGTTTATTTTTCTGCCATTTCATGTAAAGAAATATTTTAATTCTTCTTCTTCCTTATCTTGTTTCTTGTCAGCATCGTGTTGTTTTTTCCTTGTTTGTGGTGGCTCAGATCTGAACATCAAAGGTTTGCCAGTCTGTTGAAAGCAGAACACAAAAATTAAGGAATGTTTTATCTTGAAAAACTCTATCCACTTTGCTGTGACGTATTCTAGGATATAGGAGCAAAATGGGCTAATGCCTTCACTTCTCCACACCCCCACCCTGACAATATTTACCAATTATTTAATGTGCAAAAAATATGAAAACTTGTTAGATTTACTGTACCTTTTTCTTGGGTTCAGCTTGTGCTCTTTCCAAGGCTCGTCTCACTCTGTCCTCCTGGTGGAGTCGCTGTTGCTCCATTTTCTCTTCCCGTAGTCGCAACCTTCTTTCCTTTTCTTTTGCCTGAAACAAAAATATTTTAATGATTATTATAACCTTCATGAATTTGTTAATGTTACTGTCACTGGTATGCATTCTTCAATTTAAACTACATTTTTTTGATGCAATCAAACTCGCAATCACTGCAATCACATAACAAACTAACCATATTCACTTTCCCTTACCTTTTCTGCCATTTCAACTCTATCTGATGGCATGATCTCAATTTGTTCAAACAACTCTTCAAGCCGATTTTCAATGTTGGTGAGCATTTGAAGTGTGCTGCATGAAATAGAGAAAAATAAATGGAATTTAGAGTACTCCAGTTGGGAGCTTAGGGTTAGCCTCAACTTTGTGCATAATATTCATGTGTTCCATTGAAGTTCCATGGAAGTTCCATGGAATTTCGAAGTGTTTGTATTGTTGCAGTTGCGTATTCTTTATTTACCGTTGGTATTTGTGAATATTTAGACACTGAAACAAGGCTAACCCTGAGTAAATGAGTCTGTAATCAAGGAACACTGTGGCAGTTTGGAACTTGAAAATGGTCTATTAATTTTAGATATAACACTAGTCATTGAGAATTTAACTCTTGTAGAACCACAAATATAAGCCTGCCCTCTTCATAAATAACAATAATGATAATGATTTGCTGATAAACTTTATGACTTTCAGCGACTTGGATAAACCATCCTGGCTAACTGAAGGGTGGCCTAATCATTATTTATCCATGATTTATTATTATAATAGTGAAGTAATTTGCCAAAATACCTTATATTAGCTTCATTGTCACCAATGCAGTTTCTGTAGACCTCTTCAACCTTCTTATTTAAGGCAGCTAGCATTTTTTCCTTTGGAAATAAGCAAAATCAAATTATAAACTACAAAAAATATTAATTTTGCAGTCTTTCAAAAATCCATTAGCAGGAAGCAATGGCACAAGATATATAATTCTTTCAGACAATGATTGCCTGATGCCACATTTATCAGCAAGAATAAAAAATATGTAGTTGAATCTCTATTACCTGATCTTCAGCCTTGAATTCTCCATATGAAAACATCCTGAAGATCAAACAAAGGGAAATATTTATTGACTGGTTTTATTACCCTAATTACATTGGAGTGAGGGCTGACCTTAGCCAAATCCCTTAGAATGTTATTTGAGGTTAAGAAACTAAGTTGTGGCAGATAATTCCTCTTACTTTGATTTCATTTCCAGTTCCTCAGCTCGTTCTGCTTCTCTCTTGATTGCATCCTTCAGAAAGTCAATCTGCCCTTTGAGAACTTCTGTCTCTCGATTCCTAATAAATATATCAAAGAATTAAGAATGTGTTATTAGTAACTTCTCTTTAAGTATGGTTATATTGAGGACTTGCCCTGGTAAATTCTGATTCAGCTTAGAATTATGGTGTAACTCATTTCGGAAAGAAAAAAAACCCTTACATTTTTTCTTGAGTTTGTTTGATAGTTTGTCTCAGTTCTTCCAGAGCTTCTTCTGTTTCTTGGCTGTTTTGGATCAAAGACAGATTCTGCTCTTCAAGCTCAGAAAAAATGTCAAGCAGCTGTTGTGGATCCGAGAAGAATAATTCTGGTTCCTTGAAAGAATAAGGAGCAAGAGAAAACCTTAGTTTCCACAGGACATCAATGATGAGTTATTAGGTTGAGCATGGAGTGAAATGCTTGATTTTTTTAAGTGCTACTCTGACGAAAATCACTCAAACTTGGATTCAGCTGAAACTTCCTAAGAATACTCTTTAAAAGTCCAATAATCACTGTATGAAGTGTTTTCTCAATATTCAAGACGATAGTATGATGTCTTTGCCAAAACCCCTTTATTAAACATTTAGAAATAAAGGTACATGCTTACTTCATCAATATCGTCTTCATCAGTGTCATAAGTAGATGATGTCTGACTCTCTACATCTGTGTCTCCCTTTGGTCTGAACATCAAATAATAAGAATGTTATAAATAATCATGTAATCAAAGAGCAATTCAAAAGGCAATGTTTTACTATATTACATGTTACAAGCATGATAATGCATAACTTACTTCTTTGCACCTTGTGGGGGACTGGGGGTGGGTTTCTGGAGGGGAAAAACAGGGGGGAAAAAGTTATGAAAAATCAAAAGAAAAATTCAAGCTTTCTATTGGCTGAGTGTTCTATATTGTTCCTAGTAGTCTTTTTCTGGCAAGAATAAGTTTAATAAATAATATGTAAGGTGGACTTTTCCTTATGTGGTATGTTTGGCCAGGAAAAACCCTTGTAGGGAATAAATCATATTGATTTCAACCTTTTAGGCCAGGGCAAACCCTTAAATAAAAAACTTGGCCAGGGAAAAGCCCTTTTAATTCTAGCCTGCTTGGCCAGGGAAAACCCCTCATAAAGAAAACCCTTATTTTTTTAACTGGGTAAAGTATGAACTCCTTTTTCCTTTTTACCTGTGCAATTGCTATCTTACTATCTTTTCTGCTTGATCTGCTGGAAGTTCTGTCTGTAAGAACTATCGAACCTGTGGCCAAATAGTAATATAGTTAGCTTCAAATACATTAAAACATTCACCAGTTCAGTTCCACTAAATATACAAATATCTGGATCATTATGTGATCTTCCACCTTCATAAACAATGAAAATGATTATTTTATTTCACCTCTTTTCTTTAGTGTAGAAGATAGCTTTCCTTTCTGTTTTCCTTTCTGAAAAAAATTGTTATAAAAGAAAGAATTTAACCCAATTGTTTTATAAAATAAAATATTAGAAATTTTCCAATACCTTTTTCTCGTCTTTGACTTTTTGTTTGTCATCTTTATATTCCTATATGAAAGTAAATGGGTTTTTAGGCACCAGAGTATAATTAAATTATAAATCAGTAATTATTATTAGTGATTTAGTATTTTAGTATATTTAGGTATAAAAAATAATCAATTATGTACTGTACGGCAGGCCAGGAATTATCAATGATGTTAACACTATTAAACATCATTAACCTCCCCCAGGGTTAAAAGAAAACCCTCAGGAATACCTACCCTTGCCCCAGGAAAATGTTGATGCTCTTCGATTTATGGATATTATTTCACATGTACAGGTCAACTATAATATATACACCTGTATTAGATAGAAATTCAAAAAGGTTTTTTCAATTTTACCTGTGGTGTCAAAGAATCTAAGAACTGTTGGTATAACATATACTCTTTCATTGTATCTTCATTCTTTGAAATTTCACTGAAGGGAGAAAGAAAAAGGTAGGTTAAAAATTGCAAACAATTTATTGTCCATTTGTTTGATGCTAGGCCTTACAACTGAATCAGGTACAAAGTGTTGTCAGTGAAAGAAAGTTATTTCATACCTCTTTATTAGCATTATTTGTGCATTAATCTTCTTGATTTCACCAACTTTTTCTAGCTTGAGTTTGGTCTCAGCTTCAGCTCTTCAAAAAAAAACATAACTGTTGAGATATGGACAAATCCAGTAACATTTTGAAGTTTTGTCATAGAGTACTTACATCTTGATAGCTTCAACAGAATTCTTGTCATTTTCTTTGAGAAATTCATCAAACATTGCAGCATCTTCTTCAAGGTACTGCTCTGCTAATTCTAACTTTTTTTCTTCTGCCTACAGTATCACAGAGAAAGAGTAATGTTTGTCAAATAATAAAACAAAGTTGAATAAGTCAATTAACTATCAAGTAGCAAAAGAGTCTGAAACCCACCTGTGCAATTTCTTCAAGTTTTCTCATCTCATCTCTTTTTACTCCTAGTGAATACTAATTGTAACAAAGAAATACATTAATTGAGAAACTGTGTGTGATGTTGGTAAATATGGACATTATGCTTGCTGTGGCTTAGCAGACTATATATCTAATATGCATTGGAGTTTCATAAGAGTAAAACAGGGCTAAACAATTATGACTGGATGTTATGATAATTGCTAACAGCTGACGATTCAGCATTTGACCAGTCAGTGTTATCCATCAAGTGAACTAGCATATTAAAGAAGCATTTGACAAGACAAGAGCAAATTTTTGCCTGGTATAATAGCTGTCATTAAACAGAAGAGATAACTAGAGATGAGAGAATATGTGGACCACGTAGCACTTATGAAATACATGATATAGAAATATAGATAAGTTATAGTGCTTGGGAACGAAGTTAGAAGAGATAACTAGCTAAAAACTAGTGTGAGCTGCGTCAGTGTTTTTAATGAAACAGTAATGATAATAACTAAAGGTAAATTATACACTGTGAAAAGATGAAAAAACTTATTGACGTTTTGGACACTAGTCCTTCGTCGGAGTAAAAGAGCATTTGTCAATAAAAAATTATTAACCTATTACAGTAATTTACCTGAACAAGAAACATTTCTCTCTTCTTTGCAATGAAATCAGCAAGATTCTCTTTCTCAACATGTCGATCTGAAAAAGATGGATATTCATGGGTCTACTTTGAAATCAAAACACCTCTTACACTGTACTGACAGAACTTACTGGTATGTCTCACCCCTCCCACCTTCTCAAAATGCTTGATCAGCTGATATAATAATTATATCTAATACTACATAGACACACATCATTAGATGTATACCTCTTGTGATTGCAAGAGTAAACTGTGGATCATCTTTGACAGCTATGGCTCCATCTTTATCTTTCTTTTCTTCCTCAACTACTTCGTCGTCACTCTCATGAGCAATTTTTCTCATAGCAGCTGTTTTGGCATTCACACGTGTTGTGTATGTCGTCTTTTCATGTACTTTGAGTTTTCGTTGTTGAATTCTTTCCTGATATGGTTAGCAACCAAGGGTAAATAATAATAATAATAAGATTTGTTTACCAAGCAAGCATTGGGTTATTACACTGGGTTCCAGATTGAAGCTATATGTTGCTCCATTATTTTGAGGTCAAACATCCTGTGATAACAATTTTATTCTATAAAAGTAAATGGTTTGAGTACAGACTTTTTATGAGTAGCGTGTTGAATAATATCATCTGAGTGAGTTCAGAAAGAATGTTGTTGGTGAGTGCTTACTTTTCTACTTCACTCTGATCATAAATTCAGGTTATCAAAATGTCAGTCAACAGCAACAACCAAACCCAGTGTTTCTAAAGACTAGACACTAAAGTCAGACTAAAATCACCCAAATCATTGCACTCAATGCAACACACAAATAAAACCCTGGACCAAGAAGCATGATCGAGCAAGAAAGCATCTTAAGTCCAAGGTATAGTAAAGTGGATTTGGAAATAAGATTGCTGTGATATTGGGGAGAAGACCTACATTAAGCCTGTGAAGAGACTGATTACTCTAAAGCTAGTTTTTGAATGATTGAGTAAAAACTGACTAGAGCAATACCATACCTCTTTCTTCTTTTGTCTCTCCTGATCTCGTAGCATAAAGATATCATTATCAGAGGGGACAGTAAAAGGGTTGGTTTTTGTCTTATCAGACTTGACAACTGTCAATAAGAAAAGATGCAGAAAAAATATTACATATGTACAACTTCATTGAGAGATGATGTTTAACATGTGATGGTCACATTGAAAACTAGTGGCCTCTGTGTCTAACATACTGTATAATGTGGTCATCTAAGTCACTGTAAAGATAAGTATTGATCATTTCTCAATGAATGATTAATTAACCCATGAAGGGTCTTGAGGGAATAGTACGACTGCATATTGGGTTATTGCAGTGAACACTGGTTTGATCTTATCCCYAAAAATCTTAGTCACAAGGGAAGCACTTTCAGACCATAATCTTTTCATAGTCATGAAGGAGTGACGAACAGACCATTCTTATTAGATGATCCAATTTCCTATATCTGGTTTAACAATCAATATAAACTCTTACTTGGAAAAGCTGATAATGATTTGCTCGACCTGATTCTTGGAGGGCCTGAGTTTGACTGCCCTGTATCGCTTTCACCTAAATGAAGCCAACAACGAGTTAGAAGAAAAATCTCGTAGTCAAAAGATGCAAATTCTGACCTACGGCAAAGTAGCCAGAGCGTTTACAATAATTCTACAAATTCGACATCAATTTATCTCAGGATATTTAAAGAAGTACTTACGAGACTTGGATTGCCTGTTTGATGCTTTAGAAGGAGAACGAGACATTTTATCGATGAAAAAAGCAATATTATCCAATATCTTCACCACTTTTTGTTCAACAGAAAAGTCTGGATTCGAGGTATTGTCCAAAAAATCGTAATTTTGCTATCTACAGTGCTGATTTTTTCTGTTCTTTTTTATCTTCCTTACAGCTAAGGGATAATTCTTTATGTTGCAACAATGGTATTAGCAATCGAGGTTAAAATATGCTCAAAATTTAGATCAAAACTTGAAGAATCTACAATTTGAAAATGTACTCCATATTTATCTTTGGTCTTGTTGCTATAGAAACGAAGTGTAGTTGTTTCCCATCAGCGCGTGCTTTGTTGTGGTAAACCGCTGTGTGAATAGTTCGCAGTCACGACTGTTTTGAAAAGAAGCGGGAAAGCTTTTATTTATTTTTCAATTTCATACTCCTTTTTTCATCAAAAATAATTACATAGAGATGAGTAGATTAATTATTCGGCATGCTAAACAGGTAGTGATGGTTTGTAAAAACGGGGAACGTATTTTAAAGGGGGAGGCAATGAAAGAAATAGCCGTGTTTAACAGCACAGATGCACAAGGGGTGTCTGTCGTGGCAAATGAAGGTCGTATAGAATGCATAGACTGGGATGAGTCAGTAGAGAAGAAATATGGAGACTGTACTTTTGATACTGAGATTGATGCTTCAGGCATGTGTGTCCTTCCAGGTGAGTTTTACTTCTTTATTTGCATAAAAAATATTTTGATTAAATTTACTCAATGGGATAATATGCAACTATTTATCAGTTAGACGACATAAAAGCGCGCGCCCATGGCGATATAGACGCACGAGAGAAAATATAAAGAACGATTAACAAGCGAAAGAGTGGCACGAGGCGAAGCCGAGAAAAGAAATTGCGAAGAATTGTAGAAATTGCGCGAATCTGCGCAAATTAAAGAAAAAAGGCGAGCGTCCGTTGAGATCAGCGTGCGAGAGCGTGCAGCCCATGGGGAAATAGTTCATTGGTTTTTGGCCAATCAGAGCGCGCGTAATAATCCAGTTATATTATAAATTTAATTTATACTATATTTAGTAGAGTGCATACCATATATCCGTGAAAAACTTTGTAAGAAATTGCGCGAATCTGCGCAAATTAGTAAGTGGTTCGGTAGACCTCAATAGACCGTAGACTTACAAACTTACAAGCACTAATTTTTACAACTTTGTTACATAGTTATCTTTTTCATTGCTATGCACTCAGTGGAAGAAACTTTATCTTCTGATCTCATGTGCTCAGGGTTTTTCTACGACATTTAGAAATACTTTCGTTATTTGACCTACTGGGAGTAGTGTTAGGGGTAGAAAACATTCCCTAGGAGGGTGGGGTAAGTATGAAATAATTGAGAAATTACCCGGTTTATTCCTATCTGGCTTAGATATGAATGAGAGAGGAAAATAATCAAATCATCCAATGAAAATTTCAGGTCTTGTGGATGCCCACACTCATCCTGTGTGGGTTGGTGACAGGGTACATGAATTTGCTATGAAGGTCAGTAACAGCTTTAAATGTCATACTTTTAGCACTTGCAAATTTTGATGACTTAGGATGTTAATTGCCCTATTTCACTATGATGTCACATCAAAGCAATCTATTGTTTAAACACAAAGGATCATGGTCATCTGAGGGGGTCAAATCAACGCAAATTCACTGAAAATTGTTCTAAAACCTGTATCAATCTATGAAGAGAGGTAGAATAGCCAGCAAACGCTCAGAATATTTTTTAGTACATATTAACACATATTATGTCTGAAAACCAGGCCATTTTAGATTAAACTGTTTTGCTAGGAGCAAATTTTGTTGAATTTTCTATTGGATTTGGCGATTCGATCCCCCACATAAACAAGCAGTGATGTCATAGTGAAATAGGGCAATTAAGCCACATCTTATTAGTGGGTAGCTCCTACAATAACTTGTCATTAAGATATCCAATACCTTAGATAAATATGTTGCTTTCATATGCCTTTAGCTTGCAGGAGCATCGTACATGGATGTGCACAAAGCTGGAGGTGGTATCAACTTCACAGTGCAACATGTCCACAGTGCCTCAGAAGACGACCTTTATGAACCTCTTAAACAAAGACTGAACACTATGCTGAAGTATGGAACGACCCTTGTTGAAGCTAAAAGTGGATATGGCTTGGATGTTGATAATGAGATTAAGATGCTGAGGGTTATTGAAAGAGCAAAGAAAGAGCTTCCAATAGAGATTTCAAGTACTTATTGTGGTGCACACTCCATTCCAAAGTAAATGATATGCTCCATTTCCTTTGCCTTCTGACTCATAAACAAGGAAAATACACTTATGACAATCATCACAATTACTAACTAGTTCTATAGGTGACTCAAAATCGTTAATCCAAGCTTTGAACAAATGGGTGAATGAATGATATGGTTGAAAATGAATGGTTGAAAATGAATGAATGAAAATGAATGAATAAATGAACCAATCAATGAAAACTGGAGGATCAAACAAAAACCTTTAAATATATTGTATCATTTTAAAAAGGTTTTTCAGTTATCTTTCACTGATTACTTGCTTATGTTGTTTGTATATTTTTCTCTTCAGGGGAAGCACAGCAGAAAAAGCAACAGAAAATATCCTCAACGAACAGCTTCCAGCTATTCAGAAACTCATGAAAAATGGAGAACTGACAGTAGAAAATATTGATGTGTTTTGTGAAAAAGGTGTTTTTGAGACAGAAGATACAAGAAAAATACTGCAGGCTGGCAAAGAAGCTGGTTTGGCTATCAACTTCCATGGAGATGAACTACACCCCATGAACTCTGGAGAGGTAATATTTACTCACTAGCCCCCTTACCTTCTCCACCTTTCTATCTTCTTCACCATATGCCATTTTTTTTCCTTCACTAATCGAGACTCAATCACTAGGATTCTCTCCTGTTAGTTTTCCTCTCTTCTGCAAAATCCAAGATTTTAAATTACAATTTAAAGTGTAAATTGCTTGTATATGATTAGGAACTGTGCCCTGAGTAAGATCATGCACCCTGAGGTTGTTTCAGATTTTGTATAAGTAATTTAACAAATTCTTGTTGGCGTGAAATGTTTACAAGTGTAACAATATGTTTTTTGATGGAAATTTGGTTTCTTGGTAATGACATTACCTATTTAGTCACATGCACCACACATTTGCTCGTGCATCAGATATGATAATTTGAATTTCTAAGGCTTATATATTTTCATGTTGAGTAAATATTAGAATCAGAGAAAGTAAGAAAGCTTGTAAAACGAACCGTCACGACCTGAACAGAACTGAATAAAATATTAAAAAAGACAAGAACTGACTTGAGTTGACTCGTTGACTCTTAAACATTACCATTTAAGTACTATTGGCTCATCACTATTGGCTCATTTTCTCTTTTTGTATTCTTAGCTTGGTGCAGATGTTGGGGCACAAGCCATCAGTCACCTAGAGGAAGTAAGTGATGCAGGTATAAAAGCCATGGCCCAAGCATCTATCATTGGTGTATTACTGCCTACTACAGCTTACATTCTCAGGCTAAAGCCTCCTCCAGCAAGGCAGATGATTGAACAAGGTAGGCTATTGTCTTCCCTTATGGAAATAGGGCAATATTTTCTACATGTTATAAGCGGAGGTCAAAACCTGACCTAAAGCTTTTAACTCAAAAATGCACATAACCACTACTTTCACCATGCCCATCTTACACTTTACCTATGTCTACAATTCTGTTGTTTCTCAAATGAGTCATTTTATTTGGTTATTATTAGGTGTGGCTGTTGCACTTGGAACAGACTTCAACCCTAATGCTTACTGTCTGTCTATGGTAAGTGCTATGACTATGAGACACAGAAAGTGAATTTTTTAAATGCTGTCAACAAGCTTGGGAAAGGTGGGAAAGGTCAACCTGCAGTTTCTTCTAAAGTTTATAAGATAGCAGAGTAATTTTATATTTTTCTTTTGTGGCAGCCATTAACCATGCATCTTGCTTGCTGCATCCTTCGTATGTCAATGCCTGAAGTTTTAGCAGCTGCAACTATCAATGCAGCTGCATCAATTGGTCGGTCTCACTCTCATGGCTCATTAGAAGTGGGAAAAGTTGCCGATATGATTGTAGTCAAAGCGCCAAGGTATGTTGGATTCCCAGTTACTTTAATGCTCAGTCGGCAGTGCAGAAAAATGACAAGGCTGCTACTTTCACAATTAAAAAAAATTTTTTTTTAATTCTTGGAAGATCCCATTTAAACCACAATACAAAATAAAATGATCAATCTTATGTCCAATGGACATTGACAGGTTGTCTAACAGTGTTAACACAATAATAGACTAGCCAGTCTAGCTAGACTAGTCTTACCATGGGTACACTTTTCATATGAGTAATAGAATTAATCTATAATTATTTTCAAAACCCTATTTACCCATTTTCTCATTTTCCTTTCTCTTTCTTTTCTTTTCAAAGGTGGGAGCATCTTATCTACCAGCTCGCTGGCCATAATGAACTTATTACTTATGTTATAAAAAGTGGTAAAGTTGTGTATCAAAGCTAGTAGTTACAATGCCAATCCTAGTAGTGCAAGGAAAAAATTTAATGTCTAGTCCCTAAAACAACTACAGTAAGACTAAGCAGGGCCGTAGCCACTACTGTATGAGGCAAGCAAGGCAGTCGCATCTGTAAAATGTCACACACAAAAAAAGGCCTTCAAAACTCTGCAAATTGCATTTCCCAGAGTCTTAATTTCAAAATTTTCAAGGAATGCTTGCCCCAAAACCTCCTTGTTGCTCCTGCCTTTGCCACTTGTTTGTCTTGGTAAACAATTTGGTCTCGCTACAACCCTGCTTAGGATCCGACAAAGTTCTGCTTTTAGGTAGTCTGTGTCCAGCCACAAACAGACCTTGCAGATACCAACGGATATTAAATTCTTTCCACAAAACTGTTATGAAAAAAATGTAAAGTATTTTAATTTAACCAGAAGCTCATTAGATGACTCAAATAAAGTGTCCATTTTCATTTCTAATTTTTGAATTAATTTTTCATCACCCATGCATTGAAACCACCATTTTGAAAAAGTGAACTTAGCATATCAAACCATAAACAAAACATTGTGAGGGCTTAAAAGAATGGCTGGTCTTCAGAAAATGTTGGTCCAAAATAATTGATAATAATAATTATAAATAATTACAATAATTATTATTGTCTGGTCAAATCTTTGCCTTGCTAATCATTTCGAAAAGTAACATTTAGGTTGAGCTAGAAACAGATGACTAGTATAGCTTAACTGGTTGTTATTTTAAGCCCTGCATTATAATTTTTTTCTAGCATTCAATGATGGTTTTCTAATTTTAAATACCCCTCATTTGGATTTTTGTTTTAATTTGTATTTTCAAATGTTAAGTCGAATGTGGATAACAGCTTTACTAATCAAATTGTTACAACTAGAGACATGAAAAATGCTATTAAATAGTGTGCGTCATATCATCCATTCCTCAAAACACTTGGGAACAGTCTCTGGCACGACGTTAAACACCTTTACAAATTTTGAAGGATACCATGCATGCACTTGTATAAACCCCATTATGCTTGTAAACTTTTATATGCTACAGTAACCTCCGGCACTTACTGGCATTCAAATCTACAAGTGCTTTTTAGATATGCAGAAAAGGATAACAGACTGAGTAACCCTTAAATTATCTGTCATTTAAAGGAATTAAATGTCATATCAAACTTGCAAAGTCAAACCAGCTCCAGATACATTATCACCGCCACCAGCAGTATGAACAATGTCAGTACACACTAAAACAGGGGTTACGCAGAACTCGTAATCCTCTTCATCCCAACATGGGACAGGATTATCTGCATTGAGTGGCATGCGATCACTCCCAGGGTAGGTACTCAAAGAGAATGATTCATCCATGATTAACCTAGTTTTATTCGTATGTATGAAGTTTGAACCACAAATGTATCGTGTAGCCGTAAGCGACGCTTTGGCAGTAGCTGCTTGTGTGTTTTTCCATGAAGAATCCTTTGTCGTCATCATGACCTGGAACGCAAGGGTATGTAAATGGAGCCTTGTTACTTTCCTCTTTCCATTACCCAATGGCTTGGCTCGTAGAAGCTTGTACACTTGACGCATCTGATCAAGTATTGCTGCAACCCTTGGTTTCTGAGTGGCTGTTTTTGTAATCTTATTGTCCTTCAACATTGTCAGCAAATTAGGAAGATCTTGCTCGTTCATTCCAAGGGAATCTGAGTATGGGAACACATACTCAAGCAAATCCACAAATAATGCATGCTCATGGAATACCCCCATCTCAAAGTGAACCAATACCTGGGGGGATAGAGCACTAAGGTACTTGGCTAGTTCTCCAAGTCGTTCACCTCTCTCGCCATCCTTGAATGGAAAATTATCTAACATATGTAGCCCTCCAATTATGACAATGTTGGGTTCCTCTCGCTTAGTCACAGCTTTTAAATCCTCTAATGACTTTAGATAAGGGTTATTGATGTCACTGTGAAGGACCATCCTATTGGACCGCTGAGAGACAAACTTGTCTCCCCAATTTTCAAAGCCTGGGAATTCAAGAATTAAATGAATGTCATCATCTTCTGGTACTGAACCAGCTACTGTGATATCATCTGGTAAATGTTTCTTGGTGGATTCAGTCATTAAAACAGCAAGATGGGTCCTCCATCTCTCTACAGTCAGACGTTTAGCAAATGCAATAGCAGTCCCTCCAATAATAAACTTGGTGCTTTGCAAATTGTTGGCTTTTTCAGCCATCTTTCGAAAGAGCTCTTTGTTAGCCACGTACTTTGAAGACGCTACACTGTGTTCAAAAAAGTAAGCAAAAGTCTCTGCAAGGGCTGTTTCGCTGTCGATGACTTCGTGAGGGAAGGCTTTTTGAGGAGGCTCGATCCCTAGTGCCTTCAACAGCTCAAAGGAGTCTGCAAAGACATCCATTGTTGACTCAAAGGCCAGGACTGCTACAGGCGAGTGCGTGACAGAGTGATTTCGCTCTAACGCCAGCATGCCGTCCATAATAGATCTTAGATGCTTCTCGTGGGAAATCTTCCTGTAATAATAGCCTGCAAAGAGGGCAGCTATTAGTACTAATACTGCAACTACTCCATAAGACGATGCCATCCTCAGCCCAGCTGATCTTGGTCAGTAAACAAAACCTGATAATCCCGATCGACGATCCTGCACTCAAATAATTTATTCAGGGATGAATAAATTCTGAAGAATCCTTCAAAACATGGAGATCTCTTTTAAAAAAATAATCTAAAATTCCTTTAGAGGAAATTCTTTCAAAGAAGAACTTTGTAAATGTTTAGGGTTTTGTTCCAGCGACGTGGCCAAGTATGTCACGTGATCGTTTATTACAAATGACCGTGAGGGAATGGGACCTAGAATTTTTGAGCGCACGCCTATAGAAGTATTTTCGTGTTTCCATCGCGCAACACCTTTTCTTTGTTGGAAAGAGTAGAGAGAGAACTTCTACTTCGATCGTGGAACAAAGAAAGTTTGTTTGCACGAGAGTAGTTATATGAGCGAGATTTGGTCCGCAACTTGCTAAGAAACAATTTAGCGCGCATTGACACTTCTTTTGAACCTCTAAAATGGGTCCGGAATACTAAGAAACCACAAAGAGAAGTTCGCAAATTATCGAGATTACAAAAGATATACTACGAAAGTAGTACAGACAGACAGACAGACAGTAGCGTAGGAATGAACCAGCCCTCAGATGAATGTCAAATATTTTAATAATATATTTGTCGGTGCTCTATATTACATCATGAAATAATTATAAAATACTAATTAGTCGGATATGTACATATATAACTGTACAAGCACGTTATAAGAAGTCTTCTCTGATATCGCCCAAGTGTTCACTTATGTCATCGTAATCCAACGTCACTACATTCTTGTCCAGTAAAAATTGGACTACAGCTTTGCATTTTGAACTGTCGCGCTGCAGGATGGTTCCCAGCTGAAAACGCAAAACGAAGAACATTATTGTATTATGATTTTTTTAAATTTGGAACTAAGGAGTTTATAGGAAATGAGGACGCAAAAAGGTAAACCAGAAGATGATTTGCAATTTTCCTTTTCGTTGATTTAAAGAATGGAACTACTTACTATCAGAAGTGGTTCATTCTAAATCCATTCCATAGCAAGAATAATTTCAAAATTTACAAAAGAACCAAAAACTAAAAATGAAATTTTGTGTTTTCATGGATACCAACCTGTCCTTTGTTCGACCCTCTCACGATTCTGACGTATGCATTTTCAGACTTGGGGACGACAGTTTCTAACATGGATTGTAGAACACCTAGAAAAAGTTAAAAAGTAACATTCGTAAAATGCATGAGATTCTTCAAATATATCAAAAAAGCTTTTTCTTTCAATTCCATCCATCCATCCATCCATCCCTTTCTTTCGTTCTTTCTTTCTTTCTTTCTTCCTTCCTTCCTCCCTCCCTCCCTCCCTCCCTCCCTCCCTCCCTCCCTTTTCGTATGAAAGAACTGGAATTGAATTTGTTTTCCAATTTCATTTCCCCCACCTTCTAGTAACTTGCCATCTTGTGTTTCACATGTGCAACTACTTCGACCAGTAACGTCCACAATGCGAACCTACGAAAGCACAAAAAGGAAAGTAAGACATTCTTCTATTTTTTTTCTTTTTCCCGCATTTGAATAAAAACGTGAGTAAACTTAAAACGCAAAATATTCGAATACTTTAATATAGCTAAGAAAATGTTGTATTCTTACCTTACTATTATAGAATCTTCCTTTCTTCAACTCCCTACTGATTATTCTAACTCTCATTTCTGGATATAACCAGCTCTCTTCTTGTCTTTTACTGCTATTGCCATTAGATGTACTACTTGAAGACTTGTGGGTTTTATCCTTGTGTTTGTCGTCTTTTCGTTTAGAATGACTATAATAATCATCGTCAAACAAAATGATGTAAGTTTTTTAGTAAAAACCGATAAAAAATTCTCTGAGAGAAAACATACTTTAAAGCTCGGGTTTTCAGAAAGATAAATCTCAAAAATAACTAAGAACAGCAAAAATATTATGGTTTCAAAATTTAAAATGAACAAGTGTGCTTTAAATTTTTTTCCGAAAAAGAGTCAGACGAACTTTTTTTGATTTACGTGGACGCTTACTCTGGTTTATCGTCTTTCTTTCTTTTGTTGCTACTTGGTCCCGAATCTCTTGATTCTTTGCGTTTATCTTTACTTTTGACTGGAATGCAACATAGAACTTAGAATTAGCCTAGAATAATCAAGCGGCACTTCCTAGAGACAACAGCACTAGGAAGTTCTTTTTGATACGCGCGCTTTTCTTGTTAGAGTAGATTAGGACTGTGAAACGCGGCGTATAGTGTGGTCACTGTCAAGGCACGGATTTGAGGATAATCGTTAAGCCAATCAAAGTGCGCAACGTCATTTTTCGTCCAATCAGGGAGCAGAAACTATATAGTCACGGCACGGCAGAGTCATACTGTGAGGTTTTCAGTGAAACGAAATTTGCTTTAAAACTGATATTGTCATTCACCAGCATATTTGCGATGCAGCAGCGCGCATAAGAAAAAAGAAAATAACTTTTTTTACCGTGGTCACAAAGACGCGCGTTTTAGCCCAAACTGTTTGACAAAATTATAAAGATATATGCTATGACATCATCCAGTGCTTACCAGGTTTGCAAAGTTCTCTGTACTCTTCTGAATCAATCAGTCGAACATGAAACTGGTGGATCGTTACGTTCTAGGGAAAAAATTACACGCACATTGGCACCTCTCTACAGTTAAACACAATATGAAAAACAATAGAGAAATAGATGGCTTGGTACTGTTATTAATAATAATTGTACAAGACTAACCTCTCCACTGAGATGAAGCCTAACAGTCACTCTTGAGTTGTCAACGTCTACAGATATAATCTGGGAAATGAAGAAAACGATGTCTCTAATAAGTACCTTGGTGATGGGGCTATAAACCTTTGCTTTCGTGTATCATCAAAATACATGATACTGCACCATACAGGTAGTCAGGATTTTACCTTGGGGAAGGGAAGAGCCCAAAACCCATTTTCAGAACATCGAAAGTCGAAATTATAAAAATGACTACATATTAAATATTTAGGTTTTTATAGCCTAAGGATGGGGGTGAGGGGGGGGGGGGGGGGGGGGGGGTTGGGGATCATGGAGAAGAAGGGACTGGGCTAAAGCAACCCATCAAACACACAGACACATACACACTATTTTCTAATGTCTACCATATTTTACAATCACCCCCAACTTCTTAGACTGTTTTGTGATTCTTGAACAATCACAGTTTTGATTCAAAAATGCACACACAAAAACACACAGAAAAATGTTTGTTACAGTCTTGCCATAAAATTGAGGCATGTATCCTTACTTTTCCGTGCATGTCGGTATGAGGTCCTTTTTCTATAACAGCGCCAGTACCAGGTTGGTATTCTAAAGTTATAAAAACACATCACAAAAATACAGTAAGACATGGACACGAGTTTACGAAAAGTATCTTAATGTGATTCCCAGTCACACACAAGCAGCCCTACTGGGAAATATTGTTATCTTGACTTACGTAGTTCTTCTCCTACAGCAACTTTCTCACCAACACCTTTGACATGACGTACACGGCCATCTTTTTCTTTTATTGGGCCAGTCATCTGTTAATCAAGAAAAAGCAAATAGAACATGTTATACTTTTTTTTTCTTGTCTGGTATTGAGTATTATTCCTTTAATTGTGTTTAATGCTTGAGAACATAAACTAATATTGGATCTGACTCGATATTCTTAAAAAGCCTTAACCGTAATTCAATATTTTCAGTAGTGATTCTACAGTACATGAAGTAAATAGTTGAATGGCAAAATATTTCTTTTATGATATGAGTCATGCATCTTTCATATATCAAGGCTTATACTTTCAATATGTTGATGAGTGTAATTTTTTTGTGCTTTTTTTCCCCTACCAATAGTTTCAACCATAGCATTCTTTATATAAGGTTTTATATAATAAATTGTACTGAGATCTTTTTGGAATGTGGTTACTAAGAATATTATCATTATTATTATTATTATTATTATTATTATTATTATNTCCTGGGTAGTGAGAAAAAAATAGACTTTTGTACAATATGATTAAGAAATTCTGAAGGCGTCTAACTTGTAGAGATTTTAGGTTGACCTTCTCAAGTAATAAATCATATGAAGAATCATAATCTTGTAAAAGGAACCTTAATATTCGCTCGTTTAAAGCTTCCATTTTGCTGGCATTGCGCGCACCGCAAAAATGCCACACCGACGAGCAGTAATGAAAATGCGGCAAAATGAAAGCCTTATACAGCTTTATTAGTGTCCCTTGAGATAAGTTTTCTAAATCTTAACATAACATTAAACTGATTGTTGATCTTTTTGCAAATGGCGGAGATGTGATTGTCAAAGGAGAGCTTATTGTCTATATTCATTCCAAAAATGTCCAGAGAATCTTTCACAGGGAATGAGAATTTGTGGTCAGTTTTTCCCAAAATCAGCGCTTGTGCTTGGTTTCGTTAACTTTCATTGCGTTCACCTTATACCATGTGTTTGCTTTAGCTACTTCACTACATAAACAGTGTTCAAGTTCTGCTGGATCAGTGCCTGAACAATATACTTGATGATCGTCCGCATATGCATTTAACTTGGCTTCTGTGACGTGGAAAAACAAATCGTTTATGAATATGTTGAATAGCATTGGTCCTAAGACGCTACCCTGAGGAACTCCACGGCCAATATCAGTCTGCATATCGAGCACACCACAGTACCGAAACAGCCATGCTGCGTGTTTCAAACGACATTAACTTAGCTCTTGATAACCATAATGAAGTCGTGTTGGTATTGCTTGGTCTGTCTTCAGCGTTTGACACGATCGACCATAGTATCCTTTATTTTGACAAACTGGAAACTCACTTTGGTTTAAGGAATACTGTCCTTGCCTGGATCAAGTCCTACGTGTCTAACCGCTCACAGTTTATAGTAATCAACCAAACTAGGTCTAGTCCATCTGTTTTGGGGTGCGGTGTCGCCCAAGGCTCCGTGTTAGGCCCTTTGCTGTTCTCTTTATACGTGGCACCACTCGAAGCAATTATTTACTAACACGGCCTCAAATCCATGATTTACGCTGATGTAAGTGGTTATGCAGAGATCAGAGCAACCCTCGTATCTTACTAAACTAGAGCAGTGTGCTAAGAACATTGTACAGTGGATTACTAATAACAAGCTTGTTTGTAACTCTTCTAAGACTGAGGTAATTCACTTCTCGTCGAGTTATCTCCCTCGTGATCCTATAGAAAAGATCAATATCAACGGTGTTACGATTACGTCTACATTCAATGTACGTGACCTTGGAGTAACACTTGACCATTCTTTAAGCTTAAGGATGAGTGCTCACATCAATAAGTACAGAAAAACTGATCCATGCTTTTATCACTTCAAAATTGGATTACTGCAATAGCCTTCTATATGGGTTACCAGACAAGGACATTTCCAAACTCCAACGTAAACAGAACTCTGCTGCTCGTCTTGTCACTAAAACTAGAATGTCCGACCATATTGCGCATTTGATCATATTCACATGTTAAAGTCGCCCTTTATAAATATTAAATATCATTATCATTATTATTATTATTATTATTATTATTATTATTATCATCATTATTATTATTATGTCATAGACAGTCAAGGCATTATGGGTATACATTAAACTTTTCTGGGAAGTAAAACATGTATAAAACACCATTGTCTTACTAAGGGTTTAAAGAAAGTTTATTGCAAATTTGTTTTCTCAATAGATAGTAATCAGTGTTTCAATTTACAATTAATGATTTTTTTTCAATTTACAAATGATGACAAATAAACTCAAATGCCTCCTAAGGAAATGATCTGAAATTGGAAAACATTAATTGAGTCAAACTGAATTGTAATATTCTTTTACCAACCTTTTTCTCTTCATCCCCAGGTTTTCTTTTCCTTTTGCTTGGCTCATTCTTTTTCTCTGCTCCTAGTCCCAGGCCTTTAGATCTTGGAATATACTCAATGGGCTCACAAATTCTAAAATTGAAGGGGAAAAAGCACATTATGGCCTACTGGACTGGTCAGACTTAGAAGCTATATCCTGTACTCCTTACCCTTTGACAGTTCCACCAATGCATTCTCCTTTCTTCCATCCCATTCCTCGTAACATAGCTACACCAAATGCACTCACAGGAACTGCTTCATAGTCTTCTTGAGAGCTCTAAAGGTAGATACCAGTCTTTGAATTACTACATATGGACTACATTTTATTGAGAAATTTAAAAAAACCTTTGGATTGAAGTCAGGGCATGTCTAAGTCACAGACCAATTTAGAATTTACAATGGAAATCACTAGTGGTGATACGTCAGTTGGCATGCACATCTTGTGACAGTAGATTTATGTACCATGTGATGAGATTTTTGTTTACCATACAAGAATGAAAATGGTTTCATAATGGTTGGCGTGTTCTTGAATGTGTGGCCGTAACGCTTGAAAAATCTTGAACAGATCAACTTAATGCATGTAGTCCAGATAATCGTGGCAATAGATTGCATTAGTGAACTTATCTTTAACAATTCTGCTTGATCATCCACTTTGTCCATTTTTTCATCAAAGGCTACTACAATCCCATGGTTCCCAAACATGTTCCCATGGTAAACAAAAATCTTATCACATGGTACATAAACCACATGGTACATAATCAGACGTTTTACCACTCTAGTGATTTCCAAAGTATCTTGCTATGTTTTGTGGAGGGAGAAAAACTCAAGAACCCATAAAAAAACTCTTAAATCATGAGAAAAATTGAAACTCTACTCAGATATGTGATACAAAGTCTGGGAATTGAACGCAAGACCACAGAGGTGAGAGGCAAGTGTACTATCGCTACCTTACCTGACACATAGACCTACTACCCTTGATTTCCAAATATCAAAGAAAGAAGAAGAAGAACCCTACACATGCATGTATTAATAATTCATAACTTCATAAGTGTGTTAATGTTTTACCTCATCAGGTCTCATTGCTATGTCCAGTTTTTCATCTTGTTCATATCCTTCCACTGCTGGTACCTTGTTTCTCAATAGCATTGGTATCGACAGATCCTCATCCTGGTCATCTCTACCTTCTAAGTCCTTTAAGGCATCTTGAAAAATAATTTTAGAATTGAGTATTTATCTACCCTCTATAGACCCCTTGTACTGAGTCCCGAGAGGAATAATTGTTATGGGGCACAAAAAAATGGATTTTTTTGCAAAAGAAAAGATGGTCCATTGTTTTGTCCCCAAGAACAATTCCCCTAGGAAATCAATGCAAGGGGTCTATATACAAGAGAATAATGCAATACCCCAATATGGAGTAGCCTTCAGATTCTATGAGACAGAGCTAATTCACAGAACAAATTGGAAATTAAGGTTGTTAGATTTTGCAGAGGGAGGACAGCTGGAAAAAGCTAGAAAAATACCCTTGATTCAAGGGAGAGCCCTAGAAAACTCTACTTGCATTGTATGCTGAGTCCAGGAACCAAACTCATGTCCCAGAGGTGAGCCAAGTGTACTATCGCAAAACCACCCAAGTTTACAGTCAATATATAGCCTAAATATTCATAATCATAAATACTAGTTTGATCATATAGTGTGTTCTATAGAAATGTACGAAACTTCATTTTAATTTATTATATAACCTTAATTATTTTAATTAATATATTACCTTTCACAAGTTCTTCCGCAGCTTGCCTGTCCAATCCATCGGCTGTAGTAGGAAGGATCCATCGGTTCTTCTTCTGCAGTGGTATAACTAGCTCTTTGGCTTCTTCCTTTGGCCTAACACTAAAAATAAATCAAAGTAAAATCTCATATCAACTGTGTTACAAATTTACATAGAGAAAATGAACTTCAAATTTCTATTTTTTTAATATATATATATATTTTTTTTTGACAATAGACAACAACACATACCTCTTTAAATCTTTTCCTTCGGCTGATGTAATAAAATCTTTCTCTTCTCCTTCATTTCTAAGTCCATGATCAGTGCCTAAAACGCTGCTACCAGTGTTTTGTAGTGTTTTATTCGTTTTTTTCTTCGCAAAAGTAAAAGATACAGATTTGTTCCGTTCGTCCGCCATTTTGAAATCCTATAATGTCAGTGGAAACACCGCTGTGCATCATGCCTGGGTTGCCTGTGCTCTTGGCCCCTTAAAATCCTTGGTGCTCCCCCGTGAATCTTTCGCCATATTTGGTTAACTGTCAATCAATATTATTTATCTCTTTCCTGACTGGCTCTGATGAAACATCTACTTTTTTTACGACTTCTGATTGACTAAAAGCTACTTTACGCGGGAATCTTTCACGTGACTATTTGACCCCGCTACTTGAATTTTGCGCTTTTTGATTCAAACCTTCGAGCGGGGAGTTTGTACAACTTTAAGGTGTGTCAAATTCGAAGTTATTCCCTTCGAAAATCGTACAAATTCTAATTTTTCTTCTCCTATTTTATAGATAAAAGGCAGAACAACAACGAGGCAAAGCAATGGTTGCATTTTGAATGCATACAAAACGTTTTTGATGAACTGAGAGTCAGTTGTAGCGAACTCCTTCAGGATGGAACACACTTCCAAAAAGGTGAATGAAAACTTCTCCAGTTCTACGCATTTTAGAAAGTTTACGTTCGTTACATGCTAAAGCCTTGTTGTAACTCATTTTTAAACTTTTTTGGGCGAAAAACAGAAACTTTTGTTTGATTTTTCCTCCAACTCGGCAGAGTCAGCTGACGCAAATTGCAACTTTGAGTGGAAGAGTTTTTGAGAATAGAGGCTTGAACTATGTAATTATGAGCTTCTTTGACTTATGTTCACTAATAAATACATATTTTCTTTCGACAGAAGTAAAATTTTATCCATTTGAACGCGAAGAGAGCGAAGAATCCCTGCTCTCGGAACTTGGTTGTGGTTCGGGGTTCTTGGACCAAGCACAAAGACGTTACACTCAAAGGTTCGTGAAAATTCTTCGTAACTTTGAATTGCTTGGTTGTTTTTCAGAAATTATTCATAATACGTGGCTTGACGCTAATTTTTTCTTTCAAAATGGATAATTTCTACAAAAACAAAAGGTGGAATTTCCCGCCATTTTTGCGTGTTTCTTTGGCGAGAATTTTTCGCGCCTTTTTGGTAAAGCGCCACATTGCAACAACAACTCTGTAAGACATTTTTTATATTTTTCCGCTTCAGGTCCAAGAAAAGGAAGAAGCAATAAAAATGTGGCGAAAAAGTTACGACAAACAACTTTATCGCCGGTCTTTGACAGCAGAAACTCAGGTAAATTTAAACAATGCTAACGATGGTGTATCCCGCTCCCTACAATAAAAAATAGCTGGAATGGAAAGAGAAAAAGAAAGAAGCATCAACAAGCAAAAAATAAAAGCGGGAAAAAAAAAATTAAAAAATAAATAAAAATAAAGCTTGGCTACAACAAGAAAGACCCGAATTAAAAAAATATTGATTCTCTAACATAAGGAATTCGAATTTTTTTTTAATTTCAAAAGAAATTTTCTAAAGAATATGCACAATTTTGCTAACCTGCAATTCTAAATTTATTTTGCGTTTCATAGCCGGGAACTAAGTTTTGG